TGATCAATCAAATCCATCAGCTTTACATGAAATAGTTGTTGAACAACCAACAATAACATGGGAAGATATTGGTGGTTTAGAAAATGTTAAACGTGAATTACAAGAACTTATTCAATATCGTGTTGGACATCCGAATAAATGTCTCAAATTTGATACGATGTCATCATGTGGTGTTCTCTTTTATGGACCATCTGGTTGTGGTAAGTTGACAATTATTTTTTCTTAATTATACAGTAGCACCTCTATATGTGGGTACCTCCATAAAGTGAGCACTTTTCGCTGATTCCGATGATGGCCATATTAGAGATGTTTTACTATATTTTGATATTTGATTTTAGGTAAAACACGTGACCAATCGTCTTGTTCCTGTATATTATCATTCACATTTCTTCAGTAAAGTATATTACGACAATCCTGTAAAATTCAATACGAAACTCTGATTCTGTCCTAAAGAAACCTCTGTTACGATTTTTCTACTGTCAATTTGTTACGAGAGTCCGAAAACAAAAATCATGACCAGTTGAAATTTTCCCAATACTTTTGTATGCTCAAAATCTGAATCATTATAGCAAAAAAAATGTCAAATTCAATTTGAAAGAAAAGTTTTATGAGAACGCTTTCATCTGCCCCAGAACTTATTATCATGCTAGCCTACAAAAACAATATTTATCATGTTTTTTTAGTTTATTGAATAAATCAAAATAAGAATACATCTACTTATACAAGGAAGGAAAATAAAGCCAAACATCGTCCGTACGTACCAATGATTCTCGCGTGAATAATTGTTCCACCTTAGCACAATTGCGTCGTGTTTCTTCTCTGCTAAAGTTTTTTGTTACAGCTTTTAAGTCATCAACAAAGACTTGAAATATCGTCAGACAAGGTATGTATGTCTTTGTTTCATTTAGAAATTGTTCAACATAATCTCTATGTGCATATCTCACATCAAGTATAGTCAGATGTGGATATTCAATAATTGAGTATAATTGACTATTGTCAGATGAAAATGTCATACGACTATTTAATGTCTGTGATTTCATATTAAAAATACGTAAATGCTTCAGTGATGGAAACGATTGGGCAATTCGCATGAAGAATTCATGTTCGAATGGAACAGTATCTCGTACAAGTAAGTACGTAACATAACTGAAAACAGTATTTGGATATTTATTGCCAAGATCTTCGAGATAATCAAACTCGAAAGGAAGTGAGAAAATTGAGCATGCAGCTTTCTTCTTAGTAACATAACTGACCATACTAACTGCATGTTGTTGTCCAATATCTGTTAATGTTTGTTGAATATCTTCACTAGTTAACTTGTAGGATAAATCAACCATTTCCACATAAGTACAAATACAGAAAGTGAATGAATGGAGATGTGGCATACAACCAAAAATATCGTGTTGAATATCAGTACCATCAATGACTCTATTTCGATGTCGTATAGAAATATTTAGAGTTAATTTTTCCAGATTTGACATACGACGAAAAAGTGATGAAATTTTATCATATTCTTCAAATAGATCGGACACTTTTAATGAGAAATATTTCAGGTTACATAATTTATCCTACAAATAAAAAAGAAATCTTTCTTTGATAATCAACAAATCTACCTCACATTCATCGTTACTTTACAAATGGTGTCTGTTCTATATTCTGTCGGTTAATGACCACAAATGAAATATCTATCAGGTCGATATCCCCATTTTAGAGAATGAAAAACGAGTGTTAAAAGATCAATTGAAAAGTTTCAAAGAAAATTTGAATCGCATACACAATTATCGGAAGAATTGTTATAGAAAATATTCTATTCCATTCCATGCTGATGGTTATTAACATAGGATAATATTTAATCAATCATGAAACACAGCAGTCTTGTTTACAATGTGAAACTTAGCCGATAAAATACGTAGCTATAATTTCTAGCAAATTTCCTTGATCTTCTTATCAGATTCAAATTCCTAGTAGCTGTAAACTTAACGTCGATGATTTTGATATATTCATCAACACTTTTCAGTTTTTCCCCCTCTCAACATGACACTTAACCATTCGATCTCTTATTTGATTCTTATGAAATCAATTATAACTGCATTAAAATAGTTACAATCTTCATATCATAAATAAAATTATTTGTAAAAACTTACCATATTATGAACAATTTCTGAAGAGCTGTCTCGAGTATAGACAGTAACATGCAATGTTGTCAATTGTCTAAGTCGACCATCAAGTAAATAAAGACAATCATCAAAATTATCGACAGTGATACATAAATGAGTAAGAATCGGAGATGAAAAAATAGTAAATGGCTGATCACGAAGTAATAAACCTGGATATGATGACACAAAAGATCCTCCCGTAATACTTAATTTTTTTAAATTGGGGAACAAGGTGAAGATAAGACTATATACATATATACTATAATTTTTCAACGAACGGTCTTTTTCGTGTCTATCATCATTGATAAGAGTCAGAACTGTAATTTGTTTTTGGAAAATAGATTGAATTGATGAGTTTTCTAAACGACAAAAAAACAATGAAATAAAATATACTGTAATCTATTCTATTTAACACTTTTTGTATTTCTCAACTAATCAAATTCATATTAAATGCTTACTTAAAAAATAATATAAAGCATCTTCTTGGAAATGAAAAATTTTAAGTTCAGTTAGATTCGGATAGTAGGTCGCAAGAAGAATATATTCCATAAGAACTGGATCAAGAATAAAACATTTCACATTAAGATGAATTCTTGGTAATATATCGTTGCAGAATCGATCGATTATAGAGTTATCATCAATGGAGGCAAACTTGAGAATGTTGGTAAAAGTGTTTTCTTGTGCTAGAATTTTAAGTCGTTTATTATTTATATCCAATAAAGAATAAAGTACATCAATGTTGTTTAACTTTTTCAAAATAATAAGTAATATTTCATCAGGTAAGTCCAGAAAATGGATATTTGATCGGTTCATATTTTATTATGGTTGTGATGCTTTTGACTAAGACAGAGCTATATATGTATATTTGTTCATTGTTTGCATCTCACCACATTGATCCCAAACAGACTGAAAAAAAAATAAAACAAAGTAAGCTACGTGATTGGTCTATTCCGACTTCGGTCATCTTTTTTTAGACGATTTATTCGTCAATTCAGTCTTAATTCGTTTTATTTTTTTCATTCTGTTTCGATCTTTTGCGCCATTGTCAAATTGAATAGGTCAATTATTTCACAAATGTAAAACATTGATGTATCGTTCAACTTGATCATAGTCATTCAATGTTGTGTGCATTTTCGAAAGAAATTGAAAGTTGACATTGAGAAGAAAAAAAGATACTTTTTTTTATAGCAGAGTCGGTTAAATTTCATTCGTTTAGTGTCTCTTTTATATTCGAGAATTTACCGAATTAAAATGAAATCTGAAATTTTTGCAAAAAGGCAGTTCTTTGATGGCCTTGGGTCTTTCAGTTACAAGGAAATTTCACTACATGTTATAATAGTAGAAATATATAGATCTGGATATGATCTCGGTACACTGCACACACATGGATACTGTGAATCTGACATTTCGTGTTCACTTGAAAACATTGTTAAGCCATTTGTTATGTAGTATAATCTCGTCACTGTTGAACTAACATCTTTTCATTATAGAAAAAATCGTTAATAGACTTAGAATTCATTGAAAGGAGAAAAAAACTTTGAGAAAAGTATGCATTGTCAAGAAAGATTGCATCATATCTATGCAATGCAACGACAGATAATTATTGAGAGAAAGACGGAAGAAAAAAGCGACTAAAACATATGTCGCAGGCAAAATTAAAAAGTTAGGAGAATTAAAAATGTTCCTAGGAAAAAATAAAATTTTAATTTCTCCTAGAAGAAAGTAAAATGCTAAGTTTTCCCAGAAAATATCCAGTTACAATTGAAGTTTTAAATTTTCCTAGGTGAAATTAAAATTTTATTTTTTCCTAGGAACATTTTTAATTCTCCTAAATTTTAATTTCGCCTGCGACACATATACAGTGATCTCGACATAAAAATTCTTGAGAAATGATTGATATGGACGTTCAAATTGTGTATAAAAGAAAATTTTACTGATGAAACCATATGTAATAAGATATATAAATAATAGTTTGAATCTTGATCTTAATCTTCAAAAAGGTTGAATTTAGAAAAATAGCGAAACAATTTTGAGAAAAGTTCGTAAAAGAATATGAGAAATGTCTTCAAGATTAATTTCATTACTTGAAAAGAAATTCATGCATGAGCATATATGAAGATTTTTCTATTGAAACTTTTCAATACATATCGTAGATCGCAAACTTTCACCTCGTCATTATATAGTTCTCTGAAACTATGATCAGAAGAATGAAATTTGTTCATTATGACGAAGTATTGGTTTTGCTTTGGTAGATAATCACTACGAAGACATTGTTATTGACGATTATAGAAAATGATTCTGTTAGCATCATATGTGAGTCATGGATGGGCATGAGCGTAAAACAGATGTCATGCATATATTTGATGATTCACTTAAAATCTTGTCATGTGTTTTGAAACGTCCGATCATTCATTTTATCTTGAATATACGATCGACATATGTAGGTGCGAAATCTTTGAATGTTAACTGTTGCATAAAATTGTAAACATTATCTTGATAGCTTTACTTAGTCCTGAGTACTATGTTTTGTTATCGATTCTGTTTTACTGATAAAAAAATTTAGTAGATATTGTAATGTTCATGGTTTTGATCAGATGTTTTTACATATTAATAATGCCATCGAAATGAAAAGCAATCAAGCAAAAACAAAGTTAAAGTATGTACGAAGGAAGTGGATCGTATAGTACAGTTGGAAAATTAAGAACTTGGCTGACAATGAGTTTATTATGGTACTCACTTCATTTCATTTCCACCGGTATGTCCTAAACGAAGTGAAATTATTAAAATATGACAGTAAGTTATTATTACATAGTTTTAGTGCTAATTTATGGTTCGTAAACATGTAAAATGTGTTTTCAAACATTACATCGACATACGTAGTGCAGTCTTCCTCTCTCACCTTTTCTTATCACTTGTTTGTAGTTTTCGACAACATTAATACATGTTAAGATCTGTGTTATTTGAGAAACTAGAACTTGAATCTGAATATTATACAAAATGACAAATCCAAACAATCATTTCTTGAAAAATCTAGGAGTTACATGAATAGCATATTCCTTTCGTTTTCATCATTAAACGATAGAAAAGTTTGATTTTGATTATTTTATTTCCGTAAGAATTACATCAAGTATGCAGTTGTGGAATTTGAGCTATTCGATCATGATCTGATATAAGCTGGTCGCGTGTTCAAATGAACAGATTATAACTACCTGTTAATTTTACAGCGAATATGAAAGCAAAGAGACAATATTCTAAAATTATAGAATATAACGATATCATTTCAAACTCTATACTCTAACTAATAATGTTGCAAGACGATCTCTATAGAATTGAAAATTCTTCACCTTTTATCCAATGTAACTTGAAATACTGAGATGTGAGAGTGATGAATCTGAATGTAAGATTAGAAAATTATCACAGTGAATGAAAGCTTTTTGTTACCTTTTATAAACAAAATAACGGAATAATACTCTTCTTTAGGGAAGCAATATTCATAGCAGACTTTCATTCTACTTTTTTTTTATTGCTTTTTTACTAATTTTCTGATTAAAACGAAAGTTTTATCTTACTCTACGGATACGAAAAGGAATATTCCATTAATTACTATTTTTTTTTACTTTTGTGCATCTTTCTCTATTTTTTATCGATAGAAAGAACATATTTAATATAGTGTGTGTGTTGAGCCATTTATAAAGGAAGCAATAGTTTGCTATGACAGGAGACGGAACTAATTTACAAGTTCAACGTCTAAATCTTCGCCTGTTGATTCCTGATTCCAATGATTCACAACAACTTTGTCCTATTCTCGGCTATGCGCAAGAGCCACTTCTTCCACTTGTTGATGCATGTACTCCGTTGATCCATATTATCCATAATATATTAATATATGTTTCTGTTGCTCTGGAACGCACCCCAAATAATCCATCTGATGGTCTGACTCGTGATGAATCGGCTGCTATTTGTCTGTATACAATCGAATGAAACAATGGAGAAAGAAGTTTCTATTCTATTCTTAATGAAACGCTCAACAGAGCTGATCGGGAAAACTTACGACCGTGGTTCAAATATCTGAAATTATTTCTTACTGCTATGGCTAAAATACCGTGTGAACCTCAGTGTACTGTCTGGCGTGGAGTGAAAAAAAAATATTAGTTACAAATTTCATCGGGGAGCTGACGTGACATGGTGGGCTTTCTCATCCTGCACAGAAACACTTGCTGTTCTAGAGAATAATATCTATTTGGGTGATCAGGGTCCCAGAACTCTCTTCTCTATTGAAGCTATCAATGCTAAGAATATACGGGCTCATTCATATTATGCCAACGAGGATGAAATTCTTATGTTGCCGGGTACATGCATGAAAATGCAATCAAAATTGAATCCAGCACATGATCTTCACATCATTCATTTGAAACAGATTGTACCGAATCATATATTACTTGAACCTCCATTCGAAGGTATGTTGAGCAACCAAAAATGATAAGAATATTAAAAATGGCTATTATAAAAATTATTATCGAATAGTATTGATACAATTGAAATTACTGTTGCTTTCAATGTCATTCAATAATTCTTAATGTACTTATCAGACTGAGAGGTGATAAACGCATATTCTATCATTATCGACTTGCTAGATTTAATAGGCATGGTATGAGTTTTTCTCAGCTTCTTAGTAATTACGCAATTGATCTGTAAGATTACTGCTTTGATCAAATAATGTATAGCATGGGAGACATATTAAATGAACCTTTAGTCTATGTAATATTGGTAGACAGCTCCATATTTTTTTTACTACTTTACTCTAAATCATTATTAATGGCATGATATGAGTTAGTTACCTGAACTAGACTTTCACTTTATACTGTTCTTAGATTTTTTTCAACATTTGAATTAGCTTCGTTGTTATTTACCAAATTTTCTCTAGATCATTTTGATATCTGAGGAATTCCCTTCATTCTCTACAACATCCTTACAAAGGAAATGCTAGATAAATTTGTTTGATAGCATTGGTGTTTAGCTATCATTACTTATAATAGGCAAAAATATTCAAATATATTTTGATAGATCATATTTCATGGAGTTTTCGTTTGGTAATCATTGTAAAATTGCATTTCTTATTTTCATAGGTAAGTGATTTGATTCGGGTCCTATTATTCAAGAAATGCATAGTTGCCAACTAGTTTAAAGCTTGTCTAGGACTATCATTCTAGATCGATCGTTTGGCATTGAAAATATAATTTTTTTATGAAAATGAGAAGCAAAAGAAAGTTTCGAATATTGTTGAGATATACGAATCTTTGTTAAATAACTTTTCGGACATCCTATATCTACTTTCCTAGTTGCTGAAACATTTTCAAAGTTTTAAATGACTTTCTTTTGAATTATAATGTGTCTATCTTTAGGTGCACATCTTTATCCAAAAAGGGAGTAAGTTCCAATATATGTTTGTGTAGCTCTACATATGACAAAATTTTCCTTTTCTAGGCCATCAAGACAACGGTGGTTTAACAAAAAGAGGTTCATCATTCCAGTTAGCTTATTGATGGCTATAATCATTGTAGCAGTTGTTCTTGGTGCTACTTTAGGTTTAAGACCTACTAAACCGACTATTAGCACTGAATATACCACTTCCACAACAAGTATGTGTCTGAATTTTCTTTTCAGTTCAAATACAATTAAGGATCATATTTCAAACTTTCATCTTGTCAGATAGTTTTGACCACTCTGGAAGATTGTTTATAAGAGTATATATGGATGAAAAGGAATAGTGCACGAATATTGACACTCATATTCCGTTTTATTTTCACTATATTGAAGATTTAATTCAAGGGTGGACGTCATGAGAAATATATGTTACTAAATTATGGAATCTATGCCTCTTAGATAGCAATGAGATGCTCGCCTTGTTGAAATCAACCTTTCCTGAAAACATCGGAGCTACTATAAATAACCATGTGTAAATGTTGAACCATTGATCACATATATGGGCTGAAGTTTTAAATGTAGTTCTTTTTCAATTTATTTTTAACTGAGAAATCTTTGTACTACCTATGATACTTATCCTGCTTTATGATTTTCTTAGCTCAATTTTGTCAAATAACTTTTGTACCTGTCTCGTTTCCTGTCGGTTCTTATCCGATCTCCATTGCTGTCAGCGATTTTAATCTTGACCTTAAGCTGGATGTCATCGTCGCAAATTCGGGTGATAATACTGTGACTGTACTACTTGGAAACGGCGTGAATAACATTACCAAACGAATAGACTTTCCAACCCACAGAAATCCACGAGCAATAGCTGTTTTCGATTTTAATCTTGATAATAATCCGGATTTCGTCGTGACTAGCTCTACTAATAACAGTGTTACTCTACTACTTGGAAATGGCATCGATAACTTAATCGGACAAAGAAGCTTTCCAACTGGCACCAATCCGCAGTCGGTAGCCGTCGGCGATTTTAATCGAGACAGCAAGCCAGATTTCGTCGTAGCGAACACTGGTGATAATACGATAACCGTAATACTTGGTAATGGTGTAAATAGTCTTATTGGAATAGCAAACTTTCCAACGGGTATAAATCCTCGATCAGTTGTTGTTGAAGACTTTGACCGTGATAATAATTCAGATTTTGTCGTAGTAAATTCTGGTGATAATGATGTAACTGTACTAATTGGGGATGGTGTTGACACAATTATAAAACAACAGAATTTTTCAACTGGTTTAAGTCCACAATCAGTCGCTCTTGGCGACTTTAACCATGATAATAATCCAGATATTATCGTAGTGAATTCTGGTGATAATACTATGACTGTTTTACTTATGAACGGTGTTGATGCCATTATAGGACAAAAGACCTTTCCAACCGGTGCAAATCCACAAGCAGTTGCTGTTACTAATTTTAACCTCGACGGTAAGTTGGATTCCGTTATCGCGAACTACGATGATAATACAGTGACCATGCTGATTGGAAATGGTATTGATAAAATTATTCAAAACCAGACATATCCAACCGGTACTAATCCATGTTCAATTGCTGTGGGTGATTTCAATAGTGACGGTAGAATGGATTTTGTAGTCGCCAATTATGGCAGCAACAGTGTGAACATGTTTTTGAATATGTGTCACTAAGATTCGCTATTGATGAAGTTTTTTTTCTTTTATAATCATTTTTAAGATACTTCACATTACACAGTGACTATTTTGTAATTTCTCAGAAGGATACAATAATTTTGCACAGATGTCATAATACTGTGACGAAAGTTACTGCGAATAAAACTTCGAAGCTAACGAACTAAACAGAATTGCATCATAGTATTTCACTATTACTTCCTTCAGTTTAAAAATGGAAGAATAAATCTTCCAAAAATTTCTCCGATTGCTATTATGAGTCATTGTACATGTGTTTTGTTGTTCTTTAAATATTTTTCGCTGAGTGGATGCAATTCAGTTCCATTCCTGTTAAGAATTACAAGGCAAAGTACACATGCGTCATATACCACACTGTCTTGTACATAATTTCCGTTTTTTCTTCTGCCCATTTTATTGTATATATACTATTTGCAAATATGTGTCACTCGTATTTCTAATCATTCTAAAATAAAAGATACACTTTCTTTTACGACGAAATTATGACCGTACGTGTCATATCATACAATATTTTAGTATCTACCTGTGCTGATAAACTAGAGATTTATTCTAAATGTCAACCTGAATTTCTGAAAACTGATTATCGATGGAATTTAATTCGATCTGAATTAGTTCGAGAAATTCAAAATTATGAAAATACAATCATCTGTTTACAGGAACTCTCATTGAAATTGCTGCCGGAATTAGAATTATTTTTTCGTCAGTTAAATTATACATTATTTCATCATTTGTATGGTGGACGTCACAACGATTGCGTGGGTACAGGTATTGCCATTCCAGCTTCTATGGAACTTAATTCACTTTCTATTATAAGAATCGGAGATTATATACATTCGATCAGTAAACTTCGTGAAAAACAAGCAAATTCTTTAACATCAGAATGCAATTTAAACGAACCTGATACACAAGAAATACTTCTTGATGCATCAGATCCATGGGAAACTGCTATGGGTAGAATCAATGCCCTCATTTGTATAAAAGTTACTATTAACAATAAATCAATTCATATTGGGACGTATCATATGCCTTGCCTTTATAAAGATCTTGATGTTATGTTGATTCATTCTTCAATTGTAAAAGATCTAATGTTTCATTTAGCAGGTGGACAATATTTTATTCTTGCTGGTGACTTTAATTTCAATTCAACAGATATTTGTTACAAGGCTTTGACAGAAAAAAATTATATTGATTGCCGTTTACCGGAATCGAGTAAATATGAAATTTCCTACCAACGCAATGCTGAACAAGTATTAAAAAGTGCTTATCGAGAGAAAAATGGAGTTGAACCAACTTACACAAACTTTGCTCATACACCACACTGCCCAAACTATTGTGATACATTAGATTATATATTTTTTAATGGTAATCTTACTATAGAGAATGTTTTGAAATTACCAGATTATCCTTCTGGTGAATCTTATCCAGATGAAACACATCCATCAGATCATCTTATGATTGCAGCAACAATTCGACTATCATAATTTTATGAAACTGTTTTTTTTTCGATATTTTTATTGTATGTAAGGTTAATGAATAAATCCGAATCATATTTTTCATAATATACCAATAAAATAAAATATCAATTTACAGAACTTAAATAACATTTTTCTCTTAATATATTATATTTAAACTGGATTTATATGAAGGTGTGGATGTGGTGAGTGTAGATGTATTACTGCTGTTTCTTCATCGGCACCTAAAACCTCGAAAAAGGAGGTGACGATGTTTATAGAAGTCTTTGAAGAGATATTTTTCGATGAAACATGAGCTTTTAGATGTTTGCAAGAAGACAATACCTGTTGGAAATGTGAAAGGCAGGTTCACAAATATTTCTTGCTTTTTGTCACTCGAAGCCATAAAGATAGGTACGCAGAAGGATTTTTGGACACTGATATTGTTTTTTTGTTGGACTTAAAAGAAAATAGAAGTGATTTTGCATCGTGCTTCTGTTTCTTTAACCAGTATTGACTCACAAATTTTCATAGCTCAAAGGTGCCACTTTTCTTTTCAATCTTGTTTTAAACAGCCATGCATGTTGATGCAGTTGTTTTTCGTTTTTTATCGTTCTGTGACCACGTTGTTGATGACTGCACCCTATGTAGGAAGAAACCGATCTGTTTTTAGTTCTTATTTTTCCAAGTCTAAAGTATAGCAGTAATGTCAAATTTGAAGTTCAAGTTTCAAATTTCAAGAACTTTCAGGGCTCATCAGATAAAAAGAATCCGACACACGCATCAGCGGATCAGTTGAGGGTGCCGAGAAAGGACTTCCAAGGCTCATATAATTTGAAATTTGAAACTTGAACTTCAAGTTTGTCACTACTGTCTTCTTATTTCAGTTATTGCAATAACTGCTGCAAGCTTGAAGGAAGCAAAAGAATTGAAAGATGTGATTTCTTATTCTTTTCTTCTGTTACTTTTTCCCAGTATAGTGTCTAATCGTTCTTATAATGGAGGTGTTTGAGGTGATAAGCGAAAACCAGGATTTATTTACATCAAATGAAAGCTCTCAGTGCCAAACTAGCAGGGTTAAAATATTAGTGGTCCTTGGCTTGTCTACAGGGAGATAATTGATTTTTACGATACTAGCAATCTGAGTATATATATAATCTCTGAAATAATCAGTTTCGTACCATACCCCAAAAAAAGGTTGGGTAGATTTAATAAAGCTTCCAATTGCATCCAAACTCTTTTAAAAAGCGATTATTCAGTTCTACAAAACTTTTAAAGGTTTCTCTGCTCAATACACGGTAAGAACCTTTTGTTGAGGAACCTTTTTTAAAGTTTCGTACAGCAGAACAAAAATTTCATAAGAATTTACGAAATCTTTCTGGTTTCGTATTCAGTTCTGATGGTTTAGTACGAAGCCAATGCGATTTAGTAAAATACTATTATAATGTGATTATAAACTCTAAAGGCTTCACAAATTCTTACGAAACTTTTGTTCTGCTGTACGGAACTTTAAAAACGGTTCCTCAACAAAAAGTTCTTACAGTGTATCGAGCAGAGAAACCTTTAAAAGTTTTGTAGAACTGAATAATCGCTTTTTAAAAGAGTTTGGACGCAATTGGAAGCTTTATTAAATCTACCCAACCTTTTTTTGGGGTATGGTACGAAACTGATTATTTTAGAGATTATATATATACTCAGATTGCTAGTATCGTAAAAATCGATTATCTCCCTGTAGACAAGCCAAGGGCCGCTAATATTTTAACCCTGTTAGTTTGGCACTGAGAGCTTTCATTTGATGTAAATAAATCCTGGTTTTTCGCTTATCACCTCAAACACCTCCATTGTTAGAAAAACAGAGTGGTGAAACGCAGAAAGTTTGTTCTACTTCTTTTTTTTATCATTCTTCTTATTTCTAGAATTATCGAAAATTTTAAACAAGCAATATAGTGAAAAGACGATTTTGTTTTATCTTTCCAGAGTGGTGCGTCGGTTTTCTGAGAAAAATCTAACACTGAGATCGAAAAAAACTAATCAAGTCTACTTCTTTTTTATTCCACTTACTCTGATGGGTGCTGGATATTTCGCAGATGTCATAAAATGTAGGAGCAGCATTACCTGTCCTTTGTTTCAATAAGCTTCCCCCTCCCCTCTACTGTTGCTTGCTATTCTGTGAGAAAAACCCAACAATGATACACGAAATAAAATATTAGTTTAATCCCTTATTGTTTCATTTTATTATTTTCGATAGGTGGTAGGGATTTCACCGAAGCAGAAAAACGAAGAAACACTCTTTCACTGTCTTTTTTTTGTTTGCCTACATTGAATCTTGCTCGTTACTTAATACAAAGAGCTTGAACATTCAAGTTTTGTTTTCGTCATTAATCATTTAGATATCGTGGAAGTGATTGCACAGTTGAGAAAATGAATTAACTGTGTCTCATGCTTTTCTGATGATTATTTTGGTAGTTCGCTCCATCTTTCTAAGAGAACTAGAAAAGTTAGCGTGTTTCTGTTTTCGTTTTAGAGTCGTCTTGTAGATCTATGTCCATGTTCAAACGGAAGTTTGCTTATAAAATTGACATTGCTTCTTTTATTCATCTAGATATTCAGTTACTTCTGATGTATGTAATTGGAGAACAACAAACGTATAACAGAGGTTGATTAAACTTTTCTCATTCATGTATTCAAAGTAATGCTTAATGTCACATGGGAACAAACCGAATAAGTTAGTTCCGTTTTGGTCTGTGAACTTCGAAGATGCTTTTTTAGAATTTGATGAGAGGAGTTGCATCAATTGTGTGACTTATTTGTTTTCTTGACTCAGATGTACATGTTAAACATGAACTTGAACTCAATTGAAATGTCAAGTTGCATGCTTCAACTTACAAATTTCATGAATTGTGACTTGCGCGCTTCCACACATCCAAGTGATCGAAGCAGATAAGAATGCGACAGAAGTATCTGGAAAGCGGAACCTTCAATTTTCAGTTGAAATCAAGTTTCAAGTTTTTCACTAGTGAATTACTAGTTCGAAAGAAAGTATTATGAGTTCTTACGGATGCTGTGTGAGTTTTACTTTCACGAAGAGATCTTGTGAAAAAGAAATATATATTAAGAAAAAAAAAATTTGTTCGCTGAATACGACAATTTTACATTATTGCTATATTTGAAACTTGAGTTCCATTGAAATTTCAAGTGTTAATAGGACCAATGGTGTGTGCGTGTAACTGTGTGTGAGTTGTGGTTTTTAGAACTCTTCAGTTTTCAACTAGAGAATAGAACAATGAAAATTGAAACTCAAAAACTGAAACTTGAAAGTTGAATTCAAGTTTAGAGTTTCATATGCATGCAATTCTTTTTGGAGCCTTTCATAGTAAATATCTGATATTAGTATGTTAAGTCGAAGAGAACATATTATATCCAACTTCCAGTTTAGTACGTGTTAAACTGATTTATTTTTCATTTCACTCGTATTGAAGTTTTCGTTTATTACAATTGTAAAATAGATACTTTGGGATCCTTTTATCATATTTTAGAATTTATTGTTAAATTAAAATTAGGCTTATGAAGTACTTTTTTATCACAAATCGAACGCATAATCTTTCAATGGCATGTCAAGAACCTCTCAGTGATCGACAAGGAGGTTCTATTCAACTTATTCGTTGTGTTACACCAACGCCAGAAGAAAGAAATGATCCAAGATACATACCTCAGTTAGAAATCAATAAGAAGGCACAACAGATTATTTCTGAACGATTTAACGCACCTATCTCCATTATTGTGTATGTTGGACACATGGGGGTTGGCAAAAGTAGACTGGCTTCACTTACTGTTGCTGCGTTAGAAAAGGGGCAACACGACCCATCTTTAGGTTGGTTTCGAAGTGGTGTCGATTCTGACGGAATAACAAAAGGCGTTTGGATGTGGAGCTAACCGCTTTGCCATCCAGGTAATCATCAGGGCAAAAATGGTTCAATTTCAGTCCTTGACTGCAAAGGAATGGGTGATTTAGATGAAAATAAAGGTGCTAACCTGTATTTGTTCTGCATGATCATAAGCACCGCTTTTTGTGTTCTTCTTCGTCCTGCGTGTATCAAAAAGGATCAATGCAAGCGCCTTTATCGTGCATTACGCCGATTCGAAGATATGAGAACACGACATGTTTTACCAAACCTTTGATTGGTGCCTTTAGATTTACCTGAATTTGCTTGTAGTGATGCAGATGTCGGTGATGATGTAACCATCACGAAAGAACAATGGATCGAAAGAGTATTTATTGTAAACGAAGAAAGTAATCATCTGTCGGCCAGTGAAAATCAAAGATTAAAAGCACAGTATGAATTTACTCATCGTATACCACCCGAAATAGATGCCATCAATATTGATTATCTACCACGGGCATTGCTGAAAAATACTCAAACGCTAGATATATTCGCTACTTCGTAAAGAAGTAAGCCAGTATTTTGAATCAATCAACACTGCAATTAGGGCACTTTTAGCAAGTGGGGGAAAACGACTTCCTGGATCCACTGCCGATAAAATGTTTGTTCGGCCAACTGAGCTCGCCGCTTTCATCGGGGAACTTATCGAGGGTGTGGTGTGGGTGTGAGTGTGTGGGTGTGGGTGTGTGCGTGGGTGTGTGTGGGTGTGGGTGTGGGTGTGGGTGTGGGTGGGTGTGGGTGTGTGTGGGTGTGGGTGTAGGAAAGAGAAGGTCAACACCCACACCCACATCCACAACCCACACCCATCCCCCCCCCCACACCCACACCCACATCCACAACCCACACCCATCCCCACCCCCACACCCACACCCACACCCAAAAAGTACATGCGAGCTTTGTCAGTAGTTAAACTAACGTACAATTATTCTTACTTACTATAACTTCGATTGGAGAGTATTGAACAACGAAATGCTTGTTGACATTTAATGTCTTTAATGTGATCGAACGAAGTAAGCATAGCTAAAGTTACTTCTCTATTTCGCCTCTTCGAGCAACCATTCACAGTAGCTGGCAAATCAGTCGCTGGCAAAAAATGGCCATCACCACATGGAAAAGCAAAAGGATATCAATTAATACGCTCTTCACATTGAAATGTAATTACTTGACCACAGGCAATACTTGCCAGAGACAGAGATGAAGATCTAAGTTCTACTTCGTCACTACCATCGAGACAGTCAGTAGTTGAATATCCGTCCCGTGCAAATATCATTGGAATACATTGACCACCATAATGACATCGATATTCATCATCAGCA